CGCATGTCCCCCGATGGGCACACCGAAGCGGCGTTGACTCAGGGGTTTTCACGTCCTTCCGAATCTGTCCCCGTCGCAGCGTCTCTGCGATTCGAGTGAATGGTACAGTAATAACCCGCGTATAAGAACATAGATTTTAAGAACATGTTAGGCTAAAATTTCCCATTTAGACCCCTTTACATAAGAACCTGTTTTAGGCTAAGATTTTAAAGTAGGTTCTTAATTTTTCATGTTTTTTTTCCATTTTTTTCTCCTCCATTTTTTGGCATGTTGTTTTATTTCCTTGGATACATACTGTATCATACAGTATGGTAAGCACTGAAAAACTTACACTGTAGCCCATCATGGGTATTAAATAGCAAAAATTGCAGTCCTTGTAAGAAAATTTTAACACAATTTGAATCAAGTATAAGCTTATACATATTAAAAGTAGAAACAATTAAGAACCTATTTAAGAACCTTTTGAGCCTAATTTTTCAGTAAGCACCATTTATATAAGAACATGTTGAGGCTAACTTGGAAAAATCTATGTTCTTATACGCGGGTTTTTACTGTATGCATACCTCGTTTTATACATAGATTATATATATATATATATACATATGTATTTATGTACATACATTGTAACACACTGTACAGAACATCGACGTATGTACAGACACACTAGTGTTGTTGGGTTCCCACACGAACCCCATAAGAGTGAGCATGCGACAGTGCTGAGCTTCACAAACACATACTTACGAGCACTGCTGACGGTGAGCCTGTTTCCTAGATTCATGGTTGCATAGGTAAGAGTATTAAAGTTCGCCGGCCGCCCGCGCACGCACGCGCGCGTCGCAGCCGTTCGGGTGCAACGACGGGGGGTGGGGGGAATTTCGGGAAATGTACACAAGTTACAACGAACAGCCAGCCGCAAATAACAGCAGGCGTCTGACAGTCCGACGCTCCGGGATTCCGCGCCGGTCTTCACGCTCCGTTCCGAGTCTCACTCCGCCACGCGTCGCCGTCCGTCCGTCGGATTCCGCGCTGTCCCATCGTCGTCGGGCGATCGTTGGCACCCGGAGCGAGCGTCCATCTACGGAAGCCCCTCCTCCACTGTGCTCCGGTCACTCTCGGGTTGACCGGCCGGGTGGGAGGGGAGGTGACGATTCTCTGGCGTCCATCCGTTTGTTCGTCCGTCCGTCCGTGGATCTGCGGCGGTGGTCACCGGCGCTTCTTGCGCTCGTGCTTGTTCCTACGGTGACCGTGCGCCTGCTTGACCGGACTCGCGTTGCCCGGCGACGCGTCCTCCCCGTCGCTGTCGTCCATCTTCTGCCCCGGCGAAAGAAAACGAACTTTTTATTTCGGCGCGTTTACGCTTCCAGCCTCCACAGCCGTGCTACAGACTAGTACAGTTTACACCACCGGCGGGAATTCGCACACGCTATATACGGCTGGTGTTAATAGTATAGAACGTGGTGGGCTCGCCGACTCGTGACCGGTCAAATCGACCGGTTGCGTGCCGAGGGAGCGGAAGCGGTAATGAAACGCAATTACGAGTATTGATTTTTTCGAATAACGACGGTTCGCGGGGGCTCTACCCTTCATGACTACTAATTGTTAACAGCGGCTGGACGATCAGTACGGTCATTCGGTTCGATCCTCGATGTTCGATTCCACGTTAGGATCGACGTATCCAAAATGGCCGCCTCTATCGGCCGACGGGAATCGAGCTTAGTGATCAGTAAATCGAAAACGGCGGATGGCACTTGGAGTTGAGGAGACCTAGCGATCCACACCGACGTTCTGCTACTAACGGCAACGACGTGCGACACCTACCTTAGAATTGTAACTCGACTTTGACGTAAATATAGCAGCGATGCAGATGAGTTGGAAGACAGCACCGAGCAACAGGCCGTAATGAAGAATTTGTTCCATGAGTGTCGGTGCAAACTGCTCGTCCATCCTCCATTACTGAACAAAGCAGAACTGCCGATTCGATGCTTCTCTCAATCAATACAAGCGTGCGATAGATGGCGCCACGAGACCAACCGCAAATACATGCGCCAGTAGTGAATGTTATAATATTGGGAGGGTGTGTCAACGTGCCATTCAAACGCGTGGTTATGCTCAGACTATTGTGATTAGTTATCAATACATAGTATAAAACAGTACACTAATAAAGATTATGTACTTTGTTGTGCGCCGTTGTAATTATACATACGCGTATCTTTCTAGTTCTTGTTATATGTAGTAAGTACCGTTACTCGGGCATTATTCACAATTTGCCACTCACTATATTATAATACACCACATATATTTCCATGAATATATCAAGACTTAGTTATATTTGTATTACATTTAGGTCCTGAATATATCCATGTGTTATATGTACTATGCCATACTACTAAGTACCTATTGCGAATTTTATAGAATTTTAATAAATTAAGCAATATGTGTGTAGCATATGACTAAATCTACGCCTTTGTTATAATTGAGTAAACAAAAAGTAGATTTCCGTTGAGAATTTATTTGATTTTATCCCTTCACCAACCACGCAGGTGTCTATCCTATTGTGTATTAGATTATCAATCAAAGAAATTCGCAATTCAAACCAAACATTCGCAGGCACCGCGTCATGAATCGTGAATGTCCGAAGACGCAACGCACGTAAAAATAATCAATTCGATATTACGCACATGTATATAAAAATTAATGTAGTTTATTACAAGACAGAACTCTAATAAATAACCTTATTGAACGTTAACCGCTACAAGATGACTAAGACATTGCAATGTAAATGGCTCCTACCCTACGTAAAGCTTGTCGGAGTTTTGAATGCGGCAACAGCGCGCGTTTGTTATGTATCCGCGAATTAATTTTCGCCGCTTTTGTTAACCACCGCGGGAGAATGCCCCCCGCGTGATATGTGAAGGGTACTGGCACGGCAAATAAACTGCAAGCTATCCGACGTATCCAACGCGTTGTGTAATCTCGGCTGCACGCAACACTGCTGCTGTTCAGCAAACCTCTACGCTATTCAGTTCAGCGGAACACGCGCGGTTCGCGACTGTACCCTCAACGAGAGGAAGGCTGGCAGCGGGTGTCGCCGTGGGCCACTCACCTTCGCAAGTAGGAAAATACGCGCAGAGTACTTAATTTGCGCGTTGTTCTAACGAATGCTCGCCAACATCAACTTTACCGCGCCGACTTCCGAACGCGAAAGTAGACAAACGGGAACACAGAAATGAAGAATTAAGAATGTATTCGTATATATAAAAATGTCTTTATTTTTTCAACATTCAGATTGTTCATTGTAGCCAGTAAGCCAAAATAAAAATGACGTGCACATTATTTATATGATAAACACAAGACGTACAGTTGACATTACATTGTGACCGCAATGGAAAATCCAAACTTCCACAATTATATAAAATATATTCTACATATCTCGAGTTAAGACGTCTCACAAGCAGTTTTACAGCGCTAAAAAACACGCGCGTGAAGGTCTAGCTCCACGACAGACACACATAAAAATTGCTGCTATATACAAGAAATAATTTACACAAGACTTCTACCGGTAGTACTTTACTTCTTCGCCGACTTTGCCTTGGGCTTGGCTGCCTTCTTGGCCGCTGGCTTCTTTGGTGATTTCTTCGCTGCTGGTTTCTTTACAGTCTTCGGCTTCGCTGCCTTCTTAGCGGGAGATTTTGCCTTCTTCACCTTCGCTGGAGACTTCTTGACAGCTGGCTTTTTCGCGACCTTCTTCTCGACGGCGGGTTTCTTGGCCTTCGCCGGAGACTTCTTTGCCTTCGGTGCCGCCTTCTTAGCTGCTGGTTTTTTCGCTGCAGGCTTCTTCACCTTCGGTTTCTTCTCGGCCTTCTTCTCTCCGAGACGGAAGCTCCCAGATGCTCCGCTTCCCTTCGCTTGCTTCAGGGCTCCGGAGACGACGCCTCGCTTCAGAGCCATCTTCAGGTGAGCGTTGATCGCCTTGTCGTCGTTGCCAACTTTGTAGTGCGCCTTGATGTACTTCATGACGGCCTGGCGGGACGAACCTCCACGCTCCTTCAGGTTGGTGATTGCCGCCGCAATCATCTCGCTGTACTTCGGGTGACTGGCTGGTACCTTCGCCTTCTTCGGCTTGGCCGCAGCCTTCTTCTTCGAAGCGACTGGCTGGGCTGCCGCTGGTGCTGGGTCTGAATCTGCCATCGTACGAGTAGTCAAGTAGTGAGGTCAAACTAATACGGAGAGAACGCTGCTAGTAGTAATACCTTGCAAGTAATGATTCCGCTGCCACGGCGCAGCTCCGCTTATATAGCGAAAGCGCGGATGTGATTGAACACACCCATCAGACTCTCCGCTCGAGCGCAGATTGTGCCTCGGTTACGCGAGCAATTGTGTTTGTTACTTCGAAATATCGCTTACTTTTATCAACTTACACCTAGTAACTATTTATAACAGTTACACTTTTGGAAAGATGAGATTCTTACCTTTCATTTCATGCCAATATTACACTATCAGCTTTATGTATCACGAATATACAAGCATTTATCTGGGATTTGAAACGTTGCAAAGTTGGAAATTCTTTAGAAATTATCAAATATCTTTAAAATTTCAGCTGCACCTATACTATATTATTTTAGATTCTAAAACTGTAATATATGGACTACAAAACTATGTAAGACACTTGATTTACAGACCACAGATGAACCGAAATTCGACCGAAAAACACTGACCAAGAAACACAGCCACTTCGGTCGAAAACCATAACCGCCATCTTGGTCGTGTTTCTACATCCAGCAATTGCAAAAGTTTTATCGTTATTCCCACTTACTTAGCGACCAAACAATATATAAATATTTACTAAATAAGTCGTGGTAGTATTTCACATTAAAATTTGTAAAGATTTGTAACCACAAACGCGAAATCATTGAGAAAAACGGTCAAGTATGTACAACCCATTTCTGGCAGACTCGTTATAATTGCGACGTCAGACGAGAGTTCTCTCTGTACATCGATGTGTTTCAATCTAGTTTTTTCATGTAACCTCGACAAATTAACAGAATATTAAGAAAGCAGATAGTTCAGGGCATTATACAGAATGTGACAATAAGTGTAATTATTTTCTTGGTTTATATTCTATATGTTTTAATCCCAATATAGCATGTTTCAATTGCATATGGTTTGTTCTCGGTTGGGTCGCCATGATGGATGTCTCTCGTTCTTGCTCAAATATATTTAATGTGTTTCCTCCAAAAAATATTATAAATAAGTAAAAAAGGTATTCGTTGTGTAGCTTTGACTAGTTGTAATCAAGTGCTATTATACTTACAATGTGGTTTGTACGGGAATCTGGTTTAAAACCCTATTATTGACATAGTATATGTTGGTGTACGTAACTGCAGTACGACTGCCACCGTGAGCTGGATATAATGGTGAACGTTTTGAATATCACGGATTCTACATAAAAACAGCTATTTAAGTATAGATTAGTTTAGCAAGTGGGCTTTATTTTTTATAAACACGTTTATTTATGTTAAGTTAATATGATGTTACATATTCCCGATACGAAATGCATTTGTATCAACGAACGCAGTGGCCACTACTGTTGTAGACGCCTTCAACACTCGGTTTTGTTGGCGTTAGCATGACATTGGGTGTAGACTACAAGATGAATTGCATTCGCACATCAACATTAATAAATTTAAGTTTTAATAACTACACATCACAAGGTAGTATATATAACATTATAGAACTATGAAATATAATTCCATTAATAATTTGTAAATTTTTGAACTGATAAAGGTGTTAAAAGTACGGATAGCGTGATATCTCCAAGCATGTTCTAGCATTGTTCTACCCATTCTATACAAATAGATATGTATGTGAGTGAGTGAGTATGTGTGTGTGTGTGTGTGTGTGTGAGTGTGTGTGTGTGTGTGTGTGTGTGTGTGTGTGTGTGTGTGTG